TATTTTATAAATAAGTTTAAGTTTCATAAAATTTTCATGCAATTACTTTTTTGTATGGCTTTAGTTAACTATAATAACCCTGACAATATAATATAATATCATATAATATAATCTTTGGACAAAAATAACTAGAACTACCTTCATGAACGAGCCAAAAAAGTACCTTTTTTGTAAGACACATTTAAAAGCACACATTTGTACATTTAAAAAGTACAGCAAAAATCGTGGTAGTACCATTGTACTTTTCTGCAATTGATAGAAGAGAACAATGAAATAGTGTATTGATATATATGGACATTGATTTATGTGCCAAAAAATGGTAAAACCATGATGTGTTGTAGGTGGCTCCCATGTATGAACGGCGATGCTATGTTAGTGTTGCTGTTCTGGATGGGTTCATTTATGCCATCGGTGGCTTTGATGGACATGTACGTCTAAAATCAGCAGAGCGCTATGATCCTAATGCCAACCAGTGGGCACTGACTGCATCCATGAATGAACAGAGGAGTGATGCAAGCGCCACCTCACTGCAGGGCAGGGTAAGAACATGCACCCATGACCTGAAAACCAGAAGGACAGGTGAAATGGAGAAATTGTGGATTGTAGCATGAGAATACTGTAAATAAGAAACAGAATATCGTATGAAATATACTGTGTGTTGTAAACACTGTTTTTCTGAACAATCTGTAACAGTTGTGTGTAAGGCTGTGGTCGTGAACATCATGTGGATTATATTTGTGTGTGTGTGGCAGGTTTATATCTGTGGAGGTTTTACTGGGACAGACTGTCTCTTCTCAGCTGAATGCTTTAACCCTGAGACAAACCAGTGGACTCTCATTTGTCCCATGAGAAGCCGCCGCAGTGGTGTTGGTGTGATCGCTTATGGGGATCTAGTTTATGCTGTGAGTATTAAACACACACATCAGTGTTATTTTTGAATGATTGAGATACAATTATAGTTTTTATTCATATTTTAAATGTTATATATTTTATGATTTTATGATTCTAATTTTAATTAAAGTTTTAGTAATTTTGTTTTTGCATTTTTTTTTTTTAGTTTTTGTTATTTAAAGGGGTCATATGATGTGATTTCAATTTTTCCTTTCTCTTTGAAGTGTTATAAGCTCTTGGTGCATAAAGAAGATCTGTAAAGTTGCAAACACTAAAGTCTCAAATCCAAAGAGATATTCTTTATAAAAGTTCAGAGTCAACCACAACCACACCACATGTCTACGTCACGATGTGGGAAGATTTGCATAACGCCACCCAAATGTTCACGCAAAGAAAGAAGGCGTAACTTTTATTCTCGCTGTAGTATTGTTGTTGCCGTGTGTTTCATTGTGAAAGCGAAACTACTGGTTTGGCCTTTCAAAAGAGGACGGAGTCCAGTCCGGGGTCGTCACATGTGGTTTACACCGGCCACCGCACACTTAAGCCGGCCTCCGCTCACTCTAGCCGCCAGCCTCCACTCACTCAAAGCAGCAGTGTGTGACGATGTGATTTGTTGTGAAACCGAAACTACTTTGTTTGGTCTTCCAAAAGAGGACACGACTAGAAATCAGTGGTTAAGTTGTATTTACAACACTGTTCCAGAATAGTTCAACCCAAATATTCAGATGTGTGCAGCGCATTTTATGGAGGACTGTTTCCTGATCCTGGGAGAGTAGACTACAATGCCGGCTGTTCTGACTCACAGACTGTAAGTATGTTTTTTTATATTTAAAGGATTTGCCACTGACGATTCAAACGCGAGTTTTGAGCAGTGTAGAGTAGGGCTTGTTGTTTGTCATTTCTCCGATCACAAATGCAGACATGGTTTTATGTTTACGCGGCACGATGCAACGCGTAAAAACAATGACAGTATAAGTCATTATACTACGTAATTATGTCCCCACTGGATGCAACAAATGCCTCGTTTATAATGGGTTTTAATGTTTTTGTCTCGTCACTCCGGCCGGACAGTGCATCACAGTATGGTAAGGGGCGTAACATTTCTGTCACACGCTTGAGGTATTCGGCCAATTACAACGCACTGGATAGCTGGCCAATCACAGCACACCTCGCTTTTCAGACTGATGAGCTTTGTAAAAATCTTTTTCAGAAAGGCAGGGCATAGAGGAGAAACAATAATGTACAGTATGTGGAAAATAATTGTGTTTTGAACCTTAAACCGCATAAACACATTTCATTACACCAAATACACAAAATAATGTTCTTTTTAGCAACATCATATGACCCCTTTAAATGTCTATTTAAATGTTTTTTTTTTGTACATCATTATAGCATTATATGTGTCTATATAGTTTTTTTATTAGTTTTTATTTCAGGTTTAGTTTGTTGCCTTGCCTTGCTGAACTATCTGAAATAATGTTATGAGATGAAAGTTTTAATAATACGTTTTTTATATATATTTTATTTCAATAAAGCTTGCTTTGTTTCAAGAAAAAAAATGTTTAGTTAACTGTAATAACCCTTACACACATACAGAATCATGGAAGCAATCACAGTTTAAACGTGTGTGTGTGTGTGTGTGTGTGTGTGTGTGTGTGTGTGTGTGAATGAATGCTTGGATATGCATAAAAACACAAACAGTATGCATAAATAAAAAATGTATTTTTTTAAAGGTTGGTGGTTTTGATGGTGCCAGTCGTTTGCGGAGTGCAGAAACCTACAACCCGCTGACTGACATCTGGTGTGATATTGCATCTATGTACAACCCACGCAGCAACTTTGGCATTGAGGTGAGATGTGGACAATTAATCTGTATCTACTGAAACTATGAAATAACACTGCAATAATGATTGGTTATTATAAATATAGGGAATTTGTATTGGTACCATATTGACAATAAGTGGAAAGTTGCATCTCAAAAACTCTAGAAGACTTCATGGAAATGTCAAAATGAATAAACATTGCCCAATGTGTCCTATACTTTGATTTATTGATGCAAAGTTAAAGACTTCTGCTGAACATTATTTAATTTCCTTTTTACCTTCCTCCAAATCCAGGTAGTTGATGATCAGCTGTTTGCTGTGGGGGGGTTTAATGGATTCAGCACCACGTCTGATGTGGAGTGCTACGATGAGAAGACAAATGAATGGTAACATCCACAAACACTAAATCTCACAGATCATTTTGCACTGCATAAGCTAATGCCTCCAAATAAGGCCCAAAAAAGTAAATTAAGACTCAATAATGTATATTTATTTGCATTCTCAGCATGTTTTCTGTTGTCTTCACAGGTCTGATGCGAATGAAATGGTCATTTTCCGCAGTGCTCTGAGTTGTTGTGTAGTATCAGGATTACCTAACATGGCACAGTATGCTGCCCAGCGAGACGTAGACCAGATACAAGATGAGTCTGACAGTGAATGACCTGCTTCCAGCAGCATTCTGACCTTCTGACCAGGAAAAAACCCTCACCTGTGATATGTCACATGAATAAATGCAATCAAAAATAAGGTCATGATCTAAATGTCAATCCTTTCAAGTGTGGTGTCGTTCATCAGATTGTAGGTTAAAATCCTGCACCTGTGGAAACAATAAACTCAGTGAACAATGAACTCAATCTCAGTTGTTGTCCCATGAGGATTGTCCCTGTATTATTATACTTTAAGTTGCTTTGGATAAAAGTTTCTAAATTCTTAACAAACCGAAAGTGATACATTTGTGTGATAGAAATGACATGAGTAAAAATATAATGTCTAATATTGGGCATTATGTTTACTGAGCAAAATTGTTAGTTTTAATAAACTGTTTAATATTCACTGTAATTTACTGTCGTTCATCAGGGTGACCGGTGAACGAGTTTTGGTCTTTTTTACACATTGTGAATGATTGATTTAACTCCTAAATAGTCTTTGCTAAACTCTGTGAGAAGATGTGATGTTTTTATTACTGTAGGCGTAAAAAACACATGGAAATACCACTTTATGTAACTTTTGTGTTACATTAAACAATCGAGAATGAAATATTTCTTTTGCAGTATCATTTATGACTTCTGAAAACAATAAAGATTGTAAACCGAGTAAAACCTGGAGGCAAGGTATTTTAGTGCTCTGTAAAATAATGACATCGTCAGTTGTATTGAATATGTGTGTAATATTAGGCTCGGTTATAAATGGCAAGAATATATTTGATAATGTACTAACAAAGATATTAGACAAGTTTTTCATGGAAAAAAGAAAGTTACTCCCAGGGGGAAATTTTATTGGAATTCTGTCCTACAAGATGTTAATTAGAAAAAAGCCAAGGTTGCTGCCTTACACATTTTGTATTTCTTACAAAGTAAGAAAACTTCATGTAAAGATCTTACATAAAATCTACTCAACTAATATTTTACTTTCCAAGTTTATGGACATTGGTAAAGAATGCTCTAGTTTTGAAGAATCTATATGTCATCTTTTCTTTGATTGTCAGAGTGTACAGGCATTTTGGAAACATTGTTTCTTTACTTTTTCCCTTGACCCGGAAAGCAGCTATTTGTTATTATGAAAATGAAAACAAAAGTATTGACAATTTTGTAAATTACAATATTCTGATTGGCAAATTTTTTATTCACAAATATTGATTATCTAAATCTATTATATGAAAGATAGATAGATAGATAGATAGATAGATAGATAGATAGATAGATAGATAGATAGATAGATAGACAGACGGACGGACAGACAGACAGATAGAAACATCGAACGAAGAACGAACAAAATATAGATAGATATATGATACTGTAAATAGATAGACAGACAGACAGGCAGACAGACAGACAGACAGACAGAAGCAGCATTCCTATAAACCATGTTTCATTAAACATGTCATCTGATCAGATACCCTAGGTTAAGGTAGGTTTTAAGCTGTTGTTTTATAGGATTATTATTCAAGGACTATCTAGGTTTGTTGATCCAACAACATGTCCTATTTGTATTAATAATAATCAATATAATATAAAAAATAATAAATAGCATAATAAATAAGTAATTTCATGCAATTTCTGTCATTTTCAAGCTGTTCGTGAGATGCTATTGACTGCAATTAAGGAAATGAAGGTTGGAAAAGGAGCGTCAATCAATGCCATTTTTGCTTATCTACGGACCATGTACAAGTATGACACCCTAAAGAACCGGAACCACATAAAGAAAGTCCTGACCAAGCTTATTCGTGAGAACATCGTGGAGCAGATCAAAGGACGAGGGTTAGCAGGATCCTTCAAACTGGGGAAGAACTACAAAGAAAAGAAGAAGAAGCCTGCTGCTCCTCGAATTGTTCGTAATTTTACATCTTTTGTAAAGAATTTTCTAACTTATTTTGAGTATTAAAAATGTAGAACTCACTACTATTATTATTATTATTATCATCATCTTTAATTAACCAAGCAAAAACCTCTCTGAGATTAAAAATCTCTTTTACAGGAGTATCCTGGCCAAAATAAAACACTGAATATACAAAATCTTTCAATTTCAGTGACTTATCCTCCAATTCGAGAAGAATGGGCTTAAAATGTTTCAGAGACACCAGATTATGTAGCTTCATGTATTTTTGATTATAAATTATTATAATTATAAAATATATGAAATAATGCATGTATAATAATATAAAAAATAATAGTTATTGCTGATTGTAAAAGCACACAAAGCTTTGTGTGCTTTTACAATCAGAAATAACTATTATTTTTAGATATTAACTACAAATTTTATTTTACATGTAGAAGAACTATATTTTTATATTTTAAGGATGCTTCTGGAACACTCCACTATTTTTGTAAATAGGCTCATTTTCCAACTCCCCTAGAGTTAAACAGTTGAGTTTTACCGTTTTCGAATCCATTCAGCCGATCTCCGGGTCTGGTTGTAGCACTTTTAGCTTAGCTTAGCATAGATCATTGAATCTGATTAAACCGTTAGCATCTCGCTCAAAACTCTCGCTCCGGTGTAATAATCAAGGAAAGCCTGAAAATTGGCTTATTGGAAGTTACCTAGCTGGGACTATTTTCAGGCGCTGCGTAATATCATTGCGCCTGCTGCACCCATGGTACGGCAGCAAAGTTCTTTGATTATTACACCGGAATGAGAGTACAGTTCCTAGCCATATCGGCCTAGAAAATCACAACTTTTCATTTCCCGTCGGTCTTAGTACACAGTACTACAGTACTTAGTAACTACAGAAGAGTCATGTTTTAAATAGGAAAAATATCGAAACTCTTTGGTAATTTTTGAGCGAGATGCTAACGGTCTAATCAGATTCAATGATCTATGCTAAGCTAAGCTAAAAGTGCTACCGCCAGACCCGGAGATCGGCTGAGTGGATGCGAAAACGGTAAAACTCAACTGTTTAACTCTAGGGGAGTTGGAAAATTAGCCTATTTTCAAAAATAGTGGAGTGTTCCTTTAATGAATTCACTACATTTTTAAAATACAAATTAATTTTTATTATTTTGCTATTTTTATTGTTTTGTTACTTTATTTTTTGTCATTTTTTAATTTTTTTAAGTAACTAAAAGAAAAATAAACTCTTTAAATATGTAGAATGCAGCATGTACATTTGTCATGTTTTGTACTAATTTTATAGAAGTCTGTTTTTTATATGTTTTATTGTTTTATTTTTTTGTGTGTATTTTTAATGCCCATTTTATAAAAGGAACAAGACACACTTTAAATATGTAAGATGGGTCATGCACTTTTTTTTTTTTTCTTTTCTTACTATTTTTGTAAATCTATTTATTTTATTGCAATTTTATTTTGTGGTAACCATTTTAAATATGCAGAATGCATAATGTACTTTTTCATATGTTTTGTATTATTTTTAAACAAGTCAATTGACAAGGCCACTCCCAGAAGAACATCTCGTCGGGTTTCTGGTCAGGAGAAAGAGGCATCACAGACCTCGTATACGACAGCATCAGATTCTGAAGACAGTGTGGATCCTCCTCTCCTCACAGAGGAACTCAGATGTGAGCCAGATTCACTTCTGGACTCCAAAAATCCACCGCAGAAGACGTCAGTAGACATCATAGATGAAGATGATAAAGAAACAGCAGACAAACCCCAACAAGAAACTACAGAAGACATCCATGTTGAGAGTTCTAAATCAGATCCTACACTAAACTCCAAACCTGAACCCGAAACCCCAACCAGAGCATCTGTGATCCCATTTAATACTCCAGATTACCGCTTTGAGTGCATCTGTGGAGAGCTCGGCCTGGTGGACTACAAGCCTAGGGTCCAGTGCTTGAACTGTCTGCTGTGGCAGCACGCTGAGTGTGTCAACTACAAAGAGGAGAATCTGGAAACGACCCCGTTTTATTGCCCTCACTGCCTGGTAGCTATGACACCTGTGTCTACTGGAGCCACACTTATCATCTCGCCCAGCTCCATCTGTCACCAGTGGGTGGATGAAATCAACCGGCACATTCACACATCTTCCCTCAGAGTGCTGGTAAGAACCGACTAGAGTGCTGCAACTACTATTTAGATAGTTTAACCAGTAGTTCAGACTTTGATTCTATTTTGATTGCATTGTTTATTTGAAAGACTTAAAGGGATAGTTCACCCAAAAATGAAAATTCTGTCATTAATTACTCGCCCTCATGTCGTTTCAAACCTGTAAGACCTTCGTTCATCTTCGGAACACAAATTAAGATATTTTTGATGGAATCTGAGAGCTGTCTGACCCTGCATAGACAGCAACGCAACTGAAATGTTCCCAAGTCCAGAAACGTAGCAAGGAGATCTGTAAAATAATCCATATGACATCAGGAGCACAATATTTGGCCGAGATACAACTATTTGAAAATCTGGAATCTGAGGGTGCAAAAAAATCCAAATATTGAAAAAAATCGCCTTTAAAGTTGTCCAAATGAAGTTCTTAGCAATGCATATTACTAATCAAAAATTAAGTTTTGATATATTTACAAAATATCTTCATGGAACATGATCTTTACTTAATATACTAATGATTTTTGGCATAAAAGAAAAATCAATAATTTTGACCCATACAAATGTATTTTTGGCTATTGCTACAAATATACCCCAGAGACTTAAGACTGGTTTTGTGCTCAGGGTCACATTTGATCTGAACGAAAACGGCTGACGCAGAACAGCATACGCTGTTTACGTCCAGCGGATATTCTCCAAAATGGCGCTACAGGGTGACGCGGAGGAGACGAATTGTTGAATAACGTTTTTTTTTTCTTCTTTTGCACACAAAAATTATTCTCGTAGCTTCGTAAAATTACGGTTGAACCCCTGATGTCACATGGATTATTTTACAGATCTCCTTGCTACGTCTCTGGACTTGGGAACATCTGTTGGGAAAACAGATTTTATCCTCTATTAATATATATATAATTTTATCATTTTAATTTTTTTTAGGTGTATCAGGGTGTAAAGAGACACGGTTTCATCCAGCCTCACATTCTGGCTGAGCAGGATGTGGTCATCACCACTTACGACGTGCTGCGCACTGAACTCAATTACGTCGACATCCCCCACAGCAATAGCAAAGACGGCCGCCGATTCCGCAACCAGAAGCGCTACATGGCCATACCGAGCCCTCTAGTGGCTGTGGAGTGGTGGCGCGTCTGTCTGGATGAAGCTCAGATGGTGGAGTGCACTACAGCCAAGGTAGGTGATCACAACATTGGTATATTAATTTTGCAGGAATTAATCCTGTTCAGTTTTAATCCTAGAGACAGCACAGTTAGAGAACAGCTTACTTTGGAAAGATGGACATGAATTTTTATTATGGTAAAATCTCGTTTTTTTCTATTCAGGCTGCAGAAATGGCTTTGCGTCTCACGTCTGTTAATCGCTGGTGTGTCAGTGGAACACCTGTGCAGAGAGGTTTGGAAGGTAAGCAGAATTAATATTTCATTGAAATAGGGCTTGGTGATACAACTAAACAATATCTTGAGATGAGCTCACACACAACCATTCAAACAAAGTCTGTTTTCACCAAGGCTGTATTTATGATCAAAAATACAGTGAAAACATTAATATTGTGAAATATTATTACAATTAATATTGCAATTTAAAATAACTGGTCTACCATTTTAATTTATTAATTTATATAGTTTTATTTTATTTTTTTTATTTTTTTTAAAATGAACAGTTATTTTTAAATAATGACCAAACAACCTTTGATTCAATTTAAGAACAAAATGCAGTAAATTGCAGTAGTGAAAAATAAACAAGAGATGTTGTCCCCATTTACTGAATGCAGGAAAGAATTGTATTTTAAAACAAATATATTTATATGCACCAGTGTAACAATATATAGCAATAAATGGCAGTATTTCCAAACGTATATTTTTAATAACAAATTTTACTCTATGTAAAATGCCATATGGTGACTTTTTTTTAACTTTCCTGAGTGATGGCACAAATGAATCATTGAGTCTGTTCTGAAACCGATTCCCTAAAATAGACATTTGAAAGAACTTCTCTGTACTACTGGCATTTTTGCAACTGTGGTCACTAATGAAATATTGTCTTAGCATTATCATCAGCCTAATGTAATCAGAAGAGTTGTAATATGTGATTATAATTGTTTTTGTTTTATATGAAATCTTTTAGACTTGTATGGTCTTGTCCTGTTTTTGGGAGTTGATCCTTATTGGGTGAAGTACTGGTGGGACCAGTTACTTTATCGCCCCTACCGCCACAGCAATACGGCAGCGCTCTACAATGTCATCGGCCAACTACTATGGCGATCTGCTAAAAAAGATGTCATCGACCAGGTTAGTAGGTAACTCTTTCAAATAACTAATTTCATCCATCATAATCTTGTCATTGCATTTGATGTCACAAACTTCATTTTTAGATCCAAATCCCTCCTCAAACAGAAGAGATCCACTGGCTTAACTTCTCTCCAGTAGAGGGACACTTTTACCACCGTCAGCATGAGGTTTGCTCGCAGGATGCTCTTGTGAAGCTGAGGAAGATCTCTGATTGGTCATTGAAGCTGGGTAGTTTGGACCGACGTACCGTCACTACCATATTATACCCCCTTTTACGTCTACGTCAGGCCTGCTGCCACCCACAAGCTGTCAGAGGAGAGTTCCTGCCCTTCCAGAAGAGGTTAGAAACACATTTCAGATATAATTGATCAGTTTTTCGGGAGATGAGGTGTTCTGGTTCACTTTGTCCACACTGATTTAGTTATTTCCTGTTGAAGCACAATGACAATGGAGGAGTTGTTGAAGTCTCTGCAGAAGAAATGTCGTGTGGAGTGTGAAGAAGCCCACAGGCAGCTGGTGTGTGCTCTCAATGGTCTGGCTGGAATTCACATCATCAGAGGTATCGTGAGCCCCATTTCTACAGTTTCAGTATTCATCTACAGTATTTACCTGCTTCTGCCTTGACTGCTGTAGACGTTAATGAACCGTTTCCTGTCATCACCAGGCGAGTTTGTAGATGCAGCGGAGATGTACAGAGAAGTGCTGCGATCATCTGAAGAACATAAAGCAAGACTGAAAACTGATTCCCTTCAGGTAAACAATTCCAACTCAGTTTAATTTAATGCAAGACACCACATGCTAAACCATTGTTTTTCAGGAACTGCTCAATTTTGAGATTTTGGGCTGTTTGGGCTAGATTCAGGGTAGACTAGCGGAAAGACAACATTAAAAATACAAATTTAGGTATTTACTTTATCTATACGCGTCTGTAGATTTCAGTTACAATACATATCTACAAAGGCATTTTCTTTTTTTTTTAATGCTCGGTCTGTAATCTCCAATTCAGTAGCATGTACATTCACCACACTTTACAGCTGTATTCCTATCTATATTCGGAGGGTTATTAAAGAGGGGTTTGTTTATAATCATTCACCTGAATTATTAACATTTTATTCCTAAAAATATGGTGATTCCTTTTCTGTGTATGTTTCCTGAGTGATTAAAAAGTGTTTTCCAAAATCTCCTCTATAAAAGCTTTTAATACAGTGGGTACGGAAAGTATTCAGACCCCCTTAAATTTTTCACTCTTTGTTATATTGCAGCCATTTGCTAAAATCATTTAAGTTAATTTTTTTTCCTCATTAATGTACACTGAAACAAGTATTTTGAACCTTTATCCAGTGTTCATATTCATGCAAATGAGTGCATATTTGATTAGATAATGCCTCATTTGCATTTACATTTAATTAGATAATTAACATTTCAGAAATCTTGTAATACAAAATAAGTGTCTTAAAGTGTTGTGATTAATCAACTGGGAAAGTATGGTTATCTATTAGTTCAAATATTGCCCTAATCACAAATGTTTATTATTTTATTTTGTTTTATTTTATTTCTTAGTTCTAAATCCAATTTAACTCATTTTAGTTAAGTCCCAATTCAAATGTCTTTACTGTTGTTTTTGTACAAAATTTTATTACATCCTTTTTAATAAATTTTGTGTGCATTTTTATTGTTGCTGCTTAACTTTTTCTTTTGTCCAAAATGTATAGAGGCTTCATGCAACCCACAATCTGATGGAGCTTCTGAATGCAAAGCATCCTGGGATTCCTCCAACCCTGAGAGATGACAGTCTCAAAGATGAGGTTGGGTAATCGCTCATAGGCTTAAATATAATATATTTTTAATAAGAAAATGAGATCAATTTGCTAATAATTTCTAGTTCTCTGTGTTTTCGTCCTAGGCTGAGCAGCTGAAGCAGCATTACATGGCCAAGGTGAACTCTGAGGTTTCTGAAGCACATCAGAACCTACAGCCTGTTCTTCAGCACATTAAAGAGCTGAGACGCAAGGTAAAACCTCAGTTACCACACATTTTCAGCTTTGTGTTTTGCCGAGTTATTGTTGTATGTACTGTAGTTAAATAATTGTGTTATTAATTCTGCCCTAGGTGAACCTTCGCTCTCCCTGGTGGCTGGATGTCTTACAGCAGGCCATTCAGTACTCTATGGACGACGACCTTGTGGGCCGCATTCAAAATGAGCTAACTTGCAGTTACAAACAACAAGCCAACAAGCTCTCATTGGCAGACAAGTAATCCAGCATCCATTCACTTGATAGATTGCAGATATATAGTTTTTGATGGAAAAGAAGTACTATTTAACAAAAATGTCTCACTCATAGGTTTCGAGATGCTCGTGGTCTTCAGTTTCTGCTCAGCACTCAAATAGATGATTTGATGAAATCGCAGAAAACGGTTCAAGATGCTGTAAAGAAGCTGGAGGGGCCTCCATCTCAGCAAGTCATCGAGGAAGCAACACTTTGCCACCTGCGACCTGTTCGTCTGCCACTGAACAAGTAAAATCTTTTCAGTGTTTATGGATGAAGTGCATACTTTCTATTACAGTAGCAATGCCAAAATAATTACTATTTCCAATCAGTCTGATGTAAAACTCCAAGGCCATTAGTGAAATGGCTCAATTTTATTTTTTAATTTTACATTTATCATTCCACATTATGTAACAAAAATGCACAGACTCTTTTAAGTTACATACAGGTGCATCTCTATAAATTAGAATGTCGTGGGAAAAGTTCATTTATTTCAGTAATTCAACTCAAATTGTGAAACTCGTGTATTAAATAAATTCAATGCACACAGACTGAAGTAGTTTAAGTCTTTGGTTCTTTTAATTGTGATGATTTTGGCTCACATTTAACAAAAACCCACCAATTCACTATCTCAACAAATGAGAATATGGTGACATGCCAATCAGCTAATCAACTCAAAACACCTGCAAAGGTTTCCTGAGCCTTCAAAATGGTCTCTCAGTTGTGTTCACTAGGCTACACATTTATTGGTCTTATGAAGTATTCTAATTTGTTGAGAGAGTGAATTGGTGGGTTTTTGTTAAATGTGAACCAAAATCATCACAATTAAAAGAACCAAAGACTTAAACTACTTCAGTCTGTGTGCATTGAATTTATTTAATACACGAGTTTCACAATTTAAGTTGAATTACTGAAATAAATGAACTTTTCCACGACATTTTAATTTATTGAGATGCACCTGTATGTTTGTTAATTTGTTTTTGTTTTTTTTGAGCTTCTAGTGTTTAAGAAATTACACATTTGGGTTAGGTTAAATGTCACATTTGCAAATTATGATAATTGTTCACCTTCGAATTTAACATTTGTTCCTTTTAAAATTCATTCCATAGCTGTGTGTTTTGCAAATCCGATGAACTTTTTACGGACTACGAGTCAAAACTCTTCTCTCACACGTAAGTTATAAAACACATTAGATAGTGTGCAGTTTAAAGTGGAAAGTCATCCAAAAATGAACATTTTGTCATTATTTACTAAACCTGTATGACTTCTTGTGTAGAACACACAAGGAAATGTTTAGCAGAAAGTCCAAGCTGTCAAAAAGGACAAAACAGCACAATAACATTTCATAAAAGTAATTCATATGACTTCAGCGCTATATTCCAAGTCATACAATAGCTTTATGTGAGAAACAAACTGAAATTTTATCTGTTATTTACTGACAATTATGTTTAAAAACCATGGTCACCATTTAGTGTCATTCAGTGGAAAATCACAGCTTGGACATTCTGATATAAATATCAAATTGTCTGTGCCACTGAAGAAAGTTATAAGAGTTTTTAAAGACATTTTGGTGAACTTTTCCTTTAAAACATATATACAGAAAGTATAGTCAGTAAACCTCAGTTTTTAAATGCATTTTTGGCAGAGTAAAGGGACAGACGGCCATCTTTGAGGAGATGATTGAAGATGAGGAAGGGCTGGTAGATGACAGGCTCCCCACAACCAGTAGGGGTTTGTGGGCAGCCAGTGAGACTGAACGAGCCCTTAAAGCCATCCTGTCCTTTGCCAAGGCCCGTCGTTTGGAGTCTGGACTCATAGAGGAGGGAAACTCATTCATGGAGCTCTTTGAGTCCTGGAAAAAAGAATATAAGGTTTGAGGTTGTTTTCTCATTGCATGATGAATGAAGGAGTGCTTAAATGTCTTCATCAAAATGCCTGTCTGACAGACTGTCTCGTGCTCTTTCAGCTGCTGCATGAGTACTGGATGTCGCTGCGGGATCACGTGTCAGCCATAGATGAGCTGGGCATGGCTACTGAGAGGCTGCGTGTGCGCTTACCTGATGAGCCCAAACCCAAAGTGCTGCATATCATAGAACCTTATGAGGTGATGACAACAGAAAGAGTCCCATCTGTCATGCTATTTGTCATTTTTAGACTAAGAAGTAAGAAACATAATTTTTTTCACATGTGAACAGGTGGAGCAGAATAGGATAAAGCTGCTCAATGACAGGGCGGTGGCCAAATCACAACTGCAGAAAAAGCTTGGGCAGTTTCTCTATCTCACAAACCTGGAGAAGGTAATACATGATGTATTTTAAGGGATATTATTCAAGGTTTTTTTAATAATAATGCCATTTTTAAGGTTCCTAATATTGTTTTGGGAGTCTCCTACAATATGTTTACATGCATGCAAGGTCAAAAAACGCTTTAGTTTTCATAAAATATGCATTTAATATCACCTCATTTTCCAGCGATTCTCAAATGAATTGTTCAAAGCAGTTCTAAGATTTAGTCTGTAGTCTTTTAATTTTAATTTAACTAAAATTTAGTATTTTTTTGCTCCTGTACCTTTAAGGCAATATGTTACAGGCAAAACCATTGTTTTCTTAAAGGGTTAGTTCACCCAAAAATGAAAATTAGCCCATGAATTACTCACCCTCAAGGCATCCTAGGTGTATATAACTTCCTTCTTTCAGATGAATCCAGTCGGAGTTATATTAAAAATAGTCTTTTATCTTCCAAGCTGTTTAATGGCAGTCAGCGGGTGTTGCAGTGCATCAGTCCAAAAGAAGTTAAATAAAGCGCATCCATCCATAATAAAAAAGTGCCTCACACGGCTCCGGGGGGTGAACAAAGGCGTCCTGTAGCGAATCGATGTGTTTTTGTAAGAAAAATAACCATATTTAAAACGTAATAATCACTTTAATATAGCTTGCGCTCACTGTTGTACACGGAAGCAGCTCCGGACGGATGACGTAGGATGTCGGCGTTGCACATGCGCCACTCAGAAGTGACGCAGCGGAGAGATCAAAACAAAACAATGGTCATAAATTAGAAGAACAAAACGAGGATTTGTAAAGAAGAATGTCGGAGGATTTCGATATAAGCCAAGAGAAGACTGGTTTTCCTTTGCTAAAGTAAGGAAACTTTGCTTTCTTTGCTCCAATAAACAAACGTTGGTTTTCACGAGACTCACCAGCGCATGCGCAACGCCGACATCTTACGTCATCCTTCTTCCGTGTACAACTGTTGGTGCAAGCTACATTAAAGTGATTAGTAAGTTTTGAATATGGTTATTTTTCTACAAAAACGCATTGATTCGCTACAGGACGCCTTTGTTCACCCCCCGGAGCCGTGTGAGGCACTTTTTATTATGGATGGATGTGCTTTATTTCACTTCTTTTGGACTGATTAACTGCAACACCTGCTGACTGCCATTAAACAGCTTGGAAGATCAAAGTCAATTTTTAATATAACTCCGATTGGATTCATCTGAAAGAAGGAAGTCCTGGGATGGCTTGAGGGTGAGTAAATAATAGGCTAATTTTCATTTTTGGGTGAACTATACCTTTAATGCACTAGTCAATTTATGGGTTATTTTGCTTCCATAACTTGTCTTCTTTCAGACTAGTGGAAAGAAAACATCCAAAATACACATTTAAGTGTTTATTTTAATACAGAATGTATTATTTCTCAGAAATCTCCATTTCAGCAGCACTTACACCTAACTTTCCATGTTTATTCCTATCTATATTCTGAAGGTTTTTACAGAGATGTGTCATTTGCCCGATTTATATTTATATATACACAATTATATAGCACTTTATCTGTTTGTGTCTGTAGATTTCAATTATGATACGTATAATTAAAGGCCATTTTCTCAAAAATAGTTTTTTTTCTCCTCTACTAAGTCAGAAATCACCAGTTTTTTAAAGGATTTTAAAGAGGAGTTTGTTGTTATTTGCCTTCTTTATATAACATTTTATTCCTAAAAACATGGTGAAAATGTATTTTGTTCCGGATGTTGACAGTATTTTCTGATTTATGGAGTGATAAAAAGAGATATCCAAAACTTTAATATGTCAACAGAATAAAAATAATTTTAAACTTGGATTTATCATTTGTTCAGATTTCTGTTCTGGAAATGCATGCAAATTAGTGCATGTTTAATTACATAATCCATCATTTGCATATTTAAACATAAGATTTTAGAAAACTTGTAATATGTAAAAACCTTCAACTCTAATATGTCAACAAAATGAAAAGAAATTTGAAATTGGATTTATCATATGTTCATATTTCTGTTCTGGAAATGCATAAAGGTTAGTGCACATTTAATTACATAATGCATCATTTGCATATTTAAACATAATATTTCAGAAAACCTGTAATATAAAACAATTAATGTACTGTGATTAATCAACCTATGGTCATATCAGTTAAATTTTTTACCCTATTCACCAGTAGTTTCTCACCTTAAGGATATAGTTCACATACCTCTGTTATGGCTGAACTGCTTTCATGTGAAATGAGTAACAACAATAGTTTAGCTTCCACAAGTGTTCTGGGTGGATTGAAGATGTTGTGAATGTGAGCATGTCGACTTAGTAGATGAAACTCTCAAAAAAGCAAGAAAAATCCTGTTTTGCATGATATGTCGCCTATAAGACACTGTTTACTTGTGGTAATAATTTTAAATGATTTTAGCATGTGTAGATGAATGAAACTGTCAGATTTAATGTAGTAATTCATGTATTGATCATTTCAGTCTCAGGATAAGTCCACTGGAGGATTGAATCCAGAACCATGTCCCATCTGTGCTCGACCGCTGGGTCAGGAGGTAAAATCAAAGCAAAAATGAATCTGTCAAGTGTATACATATGTAAGTATATACTCTATACTCTGAACATGACTTATGTGTTTTTATTGTCAGTGGGCCGTACTGACCTGTGGACACTGTTTCTGTAACGAGTGCATCGCTATCATCGTGGAGCAGTACAGCGTCGGCAATCGACGGAGAGCCATAAAGTGTGCCATATGCCGTCAAACCACTTCACATTCAGAGATCTCGTATGTGTTCACCACTCAGAGCGCCCACCAGGGGCAGGACATCCCTGTGAAGGTCAGAGACAATTCTTGCTTTATCTAGGCGTTTAATATGTATTTTACAATGTAAGTAAACTGTATTGCGACTGTGACATTTTCAGTCAGGTTAGATATGATTTGTAGAATATCTGTAATCTCTTTTCCCTGTAGGGTAGCCACTCCACGAAGGTAGAGGCCGTGGTTCGAGTCTTAAAGAAAATCCAGATGACCGACCCGGGAGCCAAGTCTCTTGTGTTCTCCACGGTAACGCTCTCATTAAATGAGTTGCTACATCAAACACCAGACTACAGCTCTTAACCTCTAAACTTACATTTACGCCTCGTCTCTCAGTGGCAGGGCGTCCTGGACATCATTGCGAAAGCCCTTTTCGACAACAACATGGAGTTTGCACAGATCAACGGAATTCACAAATTTCAGGTTTGTGTTGAATATGAGGAAACTAACATAACACAATGTTTGTCTTTAAGGATTTTTCTCCCTTTCCTTTCTGTAATTGCTTAAATATGTTATTATAAAATAAGTAGATCCAGCACCAAAATGAGTGATGTGAGTGATTACCCAAAGCGTTTTTTTTTTTTTATATTTAATATTAAATGAATTTAATAAATTATTTATTTATAAATGAGACACAGGAATCTAGAAATTCATGAATATTTTTTGAAAATGTTTTTAAAATATATATTTATATTTAATAACACAATTAATTATTTTATTTTACATGGGGCAAAACTTGTTTATTTATATATAAATGAGACAAAATTCTAGAACTTGAACTGATTTTTAAGCAGTTTTTTTTAATAAATGTTCTTTTAGTTAATTCAACTCTGGAATTTAAATGAATCAATTTTGAAACTGAAACTATTCAACCAGTTGAACAGAGTTAATAGTTGACGACAAGAATCTCAAAATTGCCAAATTTTATCCAGTTAATCAGGCAGCTTGGTTATCCCTAGTTACCACTACACTTCTTTAACCATTAAGCACAAATGTGAAATTATGATTATTGCATTCATTTTTAGGAGAACCTGAGTGCTTTCAAATACGAGGAGAGCATCAACATCTTGCTGCTGCCGTTGCACACAGGCTCAAATGGGCTAAACATTATTGAAGCGACGCATGTGGTGCTGGTGGAGCCCATTCTAAACCCTGCCCATGAGCTGCAGGCAATAGGAAGAGTGCACCGGATTGGCCAGACCAAGTAGGCATCAACCCAATCATATAACATTCAACACAACCCATGCTGCTGACATGAGTTTGATTCTGACTGCAGCTTTTCTCTCATATCAGTTAAAATGGCACAAATTCCAAAAAAGGTTTTTGGAATATTTAAAGGATTAGTTCACCAAAAAATTTGCTCACCCTCAGGCCACCCAAGATGTAGAGTTTGTTTCATCATCTAAATATATTTGGAGAAATGTAGCATTGCGTTACTTGCTCACCATTGGATCCTCTGCGGTGAATGGGTGCCGTCAGAATGAGAGTCCAAACAGCTGATAAAATCATCACAATAATCCACAAGTAATCCACACCACTCCAGTCCAGCAATTAATGTTTCATGAAGCAAAAAAGCTGTGTAAAGAAACAAATCCATCATTAAGGCATTTTAACTTTAAACCGTTGATTCTGGCCACAATACAAGTCTATAATCCATAATAACACTTCCTCCAAGGAAAAAGAGATGTTATTAGTAAATTATTCTTATTATTTCTACAGACCCACATTCGTTCATCGGTTTCTGATCAAGTCCACCATTGAGGAGCGGATGCAAGCAATGCTTAAAACAGCAGAAAAGAGGTAAGAGTCTATGTTTATCCCTCTAGAACTAGTTTACGCCAAAAAGTTGTTTTTTTTCCCTAAATATGTCCCACCCCAATTTCCTGGTTTAAAAGGAAACTCATCAACACAAGATAAAAAAATGTGTTTGTCAAGCAATTTAATGGGATCTTTAAATACATTTAATTTTACACTGGCCTTCTGTAGATTGTTTTTGCTTTGTTTACTGAAAATGACCTTGACTAATCTGTCTCAAACCAACATCACCTTCAGTCATAGTTCCACGTCTATGAAGCATTCGGAGGCCTCCGTATTTACAGTGGCAGACCTGGCCGAGCTGTTCACAGAGGACAGCGAGTCTCTTGAGTAAATGTCTCTCCAGACCTGCCAGTCCAAAGGCCAGTAATGTGAGCTATAAAGTTTGTTTAACCGGATGTGGTAGGGTCAATTTAGCCCCTTCAATAGCACGTTGTTTCCTCACGTTGACCTTTAACTTTTTACATTTTATTGGCCCGTGAATGTCACTCAGACATTATTAAACTCAATAATTATTATGCAAATTGAAGTTAGACGAGACAAAATATCTCAAAAGACTTTCAATGTAAACTGGAAAAGGAACATTGATCAAGATAAATTATTAATTTTATGTATACATGTTTACAACCATTTGAAGGTTTTTGATGTCTGAAGGTTATTTATCTCATATATATATATATATAGTTTTAATACTTGGACAGTTTGAAGAAAATGTTGAAGTTTGAAGCTTAATTAAACTCTGATATACTCATTACTATATGCATTGTTATGGATGGATGGATTGATTGATTGATTTACTCAATCATTAAAAGTATTTTAATTTTAATTTCTGTTTCATGTTTTCCCCAGGCATCAGATGATACTCACATCATGTTCACCAACACGATCCGCAACAATGAAACCGATATCATCACCAGAAGCTACATCAATATCACATTTGGGTGTCGATACCCCATAAACTACATGGTTCAGCAGCAAAACGGGGAGAATCTGATCAGAGTGGATGTGAGGTGAGCTTCTGCTAGTCATGACGTCACCAGTTAATTAAGTCTGCAAGTCCTTTAGGTTCAAAGCTCAGTCTCTGGGACTGCAGCACTCCATATGTAGTAATGGTTTTAATTATCACTATTTTTCCAAGCTTAAAAAAGGCCGAGCCCTTCTTCACTAATTGTTTGTTTGTATGCAAACACAATACTGGAACGTAATGATAACAAAAGACTGCCCTGGGGTCCAACTCCAAAAGTTTCATTCAATATTCATTGAGCGAACCTTTCAGCCTCTTCAATGAGTCTTTTAACATTCTCTGCCCCGCAGGACAATCACTCTGAACACGGAGGATGGAAATTTCTCGGTCTCCATGCTGCTGTATAAAGACGAAGAGTTTCAGGATAAATGGACCACTGTTCCTTCTCTCACACTTGAGGACAACATCTATGTCAAAGTTTACATGGTGCGTGTTGAGCTGAATAGATGACATTACTCACTACAAGCTACTGGGGGCTTTCATGAAAGCTGCCGTGTGTTTTCTTTATGCGACAGTTTAGAACTGTTTGGCTCTTTGTTTTCAGATGAATAGAACATCTATCTATCTATCTATCTATCTATCTACCTGTATATCTATGTACCTATCTATCTATATTTTGTTTGTTCTTCATTCGATGGTTCTATCTATCTATCTATCTACCTATCTATCTATATTTTGTTCGTTCTTCGTTCGATGATTCAATCTATTTATCGATCTGTCTGTCTGTCTGTCTGTCTTTTATTCGTTCTTCTTTCGATGGTTCTATCTATCTATATCTATCTATCTATCTATGTTTTGTTCGTTTTTCATTCGATGGTTCTATCCGTCTGTCTTTTATTCGTTCTTCTTTCGATGGTTCTATCTATCTATATATCTACCTATCTATCTATGTTTTGTTCGTTTTTCATTCGATGGTTCTATCTATCTATCTATATTTTGTTTGTTCTTCGTTCTATGGTTCTATCTATATCTATCTATCTACAGTGGTGTGAAAAAGTGTTGGTCCCCTTCCTGATTTCTTATTTTTTTGCATGTTTGTCACACTTTAATGTTTCAGATCATCAAACAAATTTAAATATTAGTCAAAGATAACACAAGTAAACACAACATGCAGTTTTTAAATGAAGGTTTTTATTATTAAGGGATAAACAAAATCCAAAACTACATGGCCCTGTGTGAAGAAGTGTTTGCCCCCCTGTTAAAACTGTGGTTTATCACACCTGAGTTCAATTTCTCTAGCCACACCCAGGCCTGATTACTGCCACACCTGTTCGCAATCAAGAAATCTCTTAAATAGGACCTGCCTGACAAAGTGAAGTAGACCAAAAGATCCTCAAAAGCTAGACATCATGCGGAGATCCAAAGAAATTCAGAAACAAATGAGAAAGAAAGTCATTGAGATCTATCAGTCTGGAAAAGCTTATAAAGCCATTTCTAAAGCTTTGGGACTCCAGCGAACCAAAGTGAGCGCCATTATTCACAAATGGCAAAAACATGGAACAGTGGAGAACCTTCCCAGGAG